TGTGCCTAGGACAAAATGGTAACTAATACAAACACACACCCAGGAAGGACTGTGGGAAGACAGAAGAGGGGTACATCAACAAGGATTATCCCAACAAGTGTTGGATGACACACACAACTGAGGAGGAGGTGAAGAAGCTAAGTGACCTTGATACCTCAAAGGCAATGGGACTGGACAACATCTCCCCATGGGTCCTTAGAGAGGGAGCAGAAATGCTGGGTGTGCCACTAACAACAATCTTCAACACATTCCTTGAAACTGGGCAACTTCCTGAGGTATGGAAGATGGCAAATGTAGTTCCCATTTTTAAAAAAAAGGAGACAGAAAAGAGGCACTAAACTGTAGACCTGTGTCACTGACGTGTATAGTATGCAAAGTCACAGAGAATATTATCAGGAGAGTGGTGGAGCACCTGTAATGGGACAAGATTATAAACAACAACCAGAACGGATTCATGGAAGGCAAATACTGTGTCACAAACCTTCTGGAGTTTTATGATAAAGTAACAGAAGCAAGACACAAGAGAGAGGGATAGGTTGATTGCATTTTCATGGACTGCAAGAAGGCCTTCATCACAGTTTCTCACAAGAGATTAGTGTAGAAGCTAGAGGATCAGGGACATATAACAGGAAGAGCACTGCAATGGATCAGAGAATACCTGACATGAAGGCAACAATGAGCCATGGTACATGAAGAGGTATCACAGTGGGCACCTCTGATGAGCGGGGTCCCACAGGGATCGGTCCTAGGACCAGTGCTATTTTTGGTATATGTGAATGACATGATGGAAGGGATAGACTCAGAAGTGTCCCTGTTTGCAGATGTGAAGTTAATGAGGAGAATTAAATCAAATGAGAATAATGCAGGACTTCAAAGAGACCTGGATAGGCTGGACACCTGGTCCGGCAACTGGCTTCTCGAATTTAACCCCACCAAATGCAAAGTCACGAAGATCGGGGAAAGGCAAAGGAGACCACAGACAGAGTATAGGGTAGGTGGCCAAACACTGCAAACCTTGCTCAAGGAGAAAGATCTTGGGGTAAGTATAACACCGAGCACATCTCCGGAAGCACACATCAACTAGATAACTGCTGCAGCATATGGGCGCCTGGCAAACCTGAGAATAGCGTTCCGATACCTTAGTAAGGAATCATTCAAGACTGTACACCGTGTACATCAGGCCCATACTGGAGTATGCAGCACCTGTTTGGAACACACACTTGACCAAGCACGTCAAGAAATTAGAGAAAGTGCGAAGTTTGCGATAAGGTTAGTTCCAGAGCTAAGGGGAATGTCCTACAAAGAAAGGTTAAGCGAAATCGGCCTGACAACACTGGAGGACAGGAGGGTTAGGGGAGACATGATAACGACATACAAAATACTGTGTGGAATAGACAAGGTGGACAGAAACAGGATGTTCCAGAGAGGGGACACAAAAACAAGGGTTCATAATTGGAAGTTGAAGACTCAGATGAGTCAAAGGGATGTTAGGAAGTATTTGTTCAGTCATAGAGTAGTCAGGAAGTGGAATAGCCTAGCAAGCGAGGTAGTGGAGGCAGGAACCATACAGAGCTTTAAGATGAGGTATGAGAAAGCTCATGGAGCAGGGAGAGAGAGGACCCAGTAGCACTCAGTGAAGAGGCAGGGCCAGGAGCTGAGTCTCGACCACTGCAGCCACAATTAGGTGAGTACAATTAGGCGAGTACACATACACACACACATGCCTGCTTTATGCCACAGCCCCTTGCAGGAATGTGTGAGCAAGCTAGGTAGGAGTGGAGATAAATGCCCCCTGGGACCTCAAGCTGAGAAAGCCTAGGTAAACAAATGGATTTGACAGTTAAAATAGGAGAGGAGAGTTAGAGGTATCGGAAACATGGAGGGAACATTTTAAGGAACTGTTGAATGTTGAAGATAGAGAAGCTGTGATTTTGTGTATTGGACAGGGAGGTATAACATCTTGTAGGAGTATAGAAGAGCCAGTTGTGAGTGTGAAGGAAATGCATGAGGCAGTGCGTAGAATGAAAGGGGGTAAAGCAGTTGGGATTGATGAGATAAAGATAAATGGTAAAAGTAGGTGGGGGATATAGTTTTGGAGTGGTTAGTTCTTTTATTTAATGTATGGAAGATGGAGAGGTACCTAGGGAGTGGCACAGAGCATACATACATGTAGTTCCTTTGTATGAAGGCAAAGGGGACAAAAGAGAGTGTAAAAATTATAGGGGACTAATCCTGTTGAGTATACCTGGTAAAGTGTATGGTAGATTTATTATTGAAAGAATTAACAGTAAGACAGAGAGCAGGATTGCAGATGAACAAAGAGGCTTTGGGAAGGGTAGGGGATGTGTAGACCAAGTATTTACAGTGAAACATGTAGTGAACAGTATTTAGATAAGAGTAAAGAAGTTTTTATGGCTTTTATGGATTTGGAAAAGACATATGATAGGGTGGATAGGGGGGCAATGTAGCAGATATTGCAAATGTATGGAATAGAAGGTAGGTTACTGAAAGCATTAAAGCCTTTATGAGGATAGTGAAGCTCAGGTCAGAGTATGTAGGAGAGAGGGAGATTATTTCCCAGTAAAAATAGACCTTAGACAGGGATGTGTGATGTCACCATGGTTGTTCAATATATCTATAGATGGAGTAGTAAGAGAAGTGAATGCTCAGGTGTTGGCCTCTGGTGTGGGAGTAAAAGATAAAGAATCTAACACAAAGTGGGAGTTGTCACTGTTGCTTTTTGCTGATGATACTGTGCTTTTGGGGGATTCTGAAGAGAAGTTTCAGAGGTTGGTGGACGAGTTTGGTAGGGTATGTAAAAGAGGGAGAGTAAAAGTGAACACAGGAAAGAGTAAGGTGATGAGATTAACAAAAAAATTAGGTAATGAAAGATTAGATATCAGATTGGAGGGAGTATGGAGGAAGTGAATGTATTCAGATATTTGGAAGCAGACTCGTCAGCAGATGGGTCCATGAAAGACGAGGTGAGTCATAGAATTGATGAGAGGGAAAAAGATGAGTGATGCACTGAGGAGTCTGTTGAGACAAAGAACGTTATCCATTGAAGCAAAGAGGGGAATGTATAAGAGTATAGTTATACCAACACACTTATATGGGTGTAAAGCATGGATAATGTTGCAACTAGGAAAAGGCTAGAGGCAGTGGAGATGTCATGTCTGAATGTAATGTGTGGGTGTGAATATAATGCAGAGAATCTATAGTTTGGAAATTAGGAGGTGCAGGGGTTACTAAAGGTATTATCCAGAGGGCTGTTGAGGTGGTTCAAACATTTAGAGAGGATGGAATGAAATAGAATGATTTGGAGAGCGTATAAATCTATAATGGAAGGAAGGCGGGAGTAGGGGTTGGCCTAGGAAAGGTTGGAGGAGGTTTTGTGTGCAAGGTGCTTGGACTTCCAGCAAGCATGCTTGATAGAAGCAAGTGGAGACAAATGGTTTTTATGACTTGACATGCTGTTGGAACGTGAGCAAGGTATCATTTATGAAGGAATCCAGGGAAACCGGTAGGCCGGACTTGATTCCTGAAGGTGGGAAGTATGGTGCCTGCACTCTGAAGGGGTTACCTGGAGGTTATTCCGGGGATCAACGCCCCCGCGGCCCGGTCCAGATTTAGAACTGTAGTGTAGGCATGCCTCTGGCAAGACAGTAATGGAGTGAATGATGATGAAAATGTTTCTTCTTTTTTGGGTCACCCTGCCTTGGTGGCAAATGGCCAATGTGATATATGTATATAAATATACATATGTCATGCCGAATAGGTAAAACTTGCGATTTTGACTTAAATAACAACACTATTCTTGCAGAATAAGGCAAGCAGAAATTTGTGTATGCAATAATTTCGCAAAAATCATTCTGAACTCTAACAAAAAAATATATTTCTTTGTGTTACTTATTATTAAATTATTGTAATCTTATCAAAAATACATTTAGTTGGATTAGGCTAAATAAAATTGCGCTTGTTATAAAAAGGTTAGGTAAGTTTTCTAAGGTTTTTTGGTACAAAGTTATTAATTTTAATATTAACATAAATGAAAAATATATCCTTAAATGTATAAGAAAAAATTTTAGGAAGGACTTAATTTTAAATAAATTCTTGCTAATTGACCAGTTTTACCTGTTTGGCATAACATATAGACAGTTATTGATAGCGAGAGAGGGCACTAAGCCAAAAGTTGCATGATGGTGGTGTCAACAATGGGATGTGCTGTTGTCGTGTCGGCTCCCGAGTCAGTGTTGACACTCATGGTGTTGCCAGCTGCTGGAATCCTTACCCGTTTTACATTACGTATTGCCAGCTTAAGAAATAGTCCCTACAAATTAGGTTTTTTTATTTCATTAAGAAACTAAAAATCATTTGTTTGAAAAAATATTACTTTCATAATGTGCTTCCTTATTAAATAATATATTTTTGTGTAATTTACCTCCGAGATTTTAATTTTTACCCCATTTGGTAATTTAGCCTGACCTCTGGATTAGTGATATTACCACTTAAAACTCTTTCAAAGATTTTTGTAATATGGGTGATCAGTGCTATAATTTTTTTCTCTTATATTTTTAGGACAGTTTAATTTGTTTGACTGATTGCTGGAAAATAATGAGATGTACTGTATACACAGACACATAAGTCCATTTTCCACCATGGCAGGGTAATCCAAAAAAGAAAATGCATTCATCATCATTTTTACTCAGTCTTTTCAGAAGAGCACTGAGCCATAACCTACCAAATCACAACATTTTTGAAACTGCAGGCATTGTACTTCCCACCTCTAAAGTCTGGTCCAGTTAGCTGGTTTTCATCAGTATATGACATACCATACATCTTTGCTGAGTGTTCAAGTCCCTACACCTCAAATTTATATACAATTAGTGTCTTCATCCTTGCTTTAGTGTGTATAATTCAGTGCAACACACAATGTATATACATATTTTACATATTGTACACTATATACAATACTGTGTACCTTGTGAATTTTTTTGCAGTATTCTGGAGGTCAACTCTGCTTCTATGGAATCTTTGGATGAAGGTGGAACTGAAGGTAGGGATCATCTCAAGGTACTGTAAAAATAATGGAACAGCTGAAGGCTTATAAGACTGAGATAACACCTCACAATCAACATCTGACACCTGACCCATTAATTATTTTTCTAAAAAAATTATACAATAAAGTAAGGTAGTAATTTATAATTTTTATAATTTTAAGTAAGAGATAACATCAGAGATTGTGCTAATTATCATGTGCATTAACTGCTTAATCTGGATGTGTTTTAATTTTTGCACAAAAGTAATGAGTGTTATACTTTGTACTGAAATAATCTGTTGAAGGAAAGCATTTATTTTTCTTAGAAAATGTGAGCTGCCATATGTATTTTAATTCACCCGATGTGACTTTAGTGGTAATTTCACTTATTAAGGATCTTTATTATACTTGAGCCCTTCAAAGGGAGGGTTCCTTGATGCTGGTGAAGGGTTCTTGATCCTAGAATTGGAGATACTTTTTCCCTTGCATCCCTTAAGCTTTATATGACCCTTAAGGGTTCAGTGCTTCTCCATGAATATGGTAATAGTAATTCTCACACTTGGTCCCAAGCTGCATGACATGTAAATAATGCTTAATTAAAATTCTGTTATATATGTGTAAAGTGAAAAATTTCATACAAAATATTATACATGCTGTAAGAATTTTTTTTTTTACCAAAGTTTAGATACTGAATCATCTTTACAACCACACCATATATATTATATACAGTATAAGATATCTGAACTTTAGTATGTATACATACTTTCTTAGCACGACTGTATATATTTTTACACTATTAAAAGTAAAGAAACATTATGTTTTAACATATGCAGCATTTTTTTATAGATTTAAATTTTCTTCAAGGCAATTATGTACTAGAACAATGTTGACTTTATCATGCACTGAACTATAGCCTGATTATGTATAAGTAAATACAGTGCTTCATACAGTATTGTAGATTAATCACAAATTATTACATTAATGTTAAGTGATAAAAAAGGAAAATTGAATGCAATATTTGTTTATTTAAGACTATATTAAACAGACTAACCTAAAGAATATACTCTTGTAAATTTCACAGAGCCAAGCTTAGATGACATAGATGCTGATCCAGAGTTGAGATTGTTAGACAAGGAACCTGAACTCTGGGTTCATACAGTTGAGAAGGATGTAAGTACAGTATACTCTAGTCTTCATTGTGTGTCTATTTTTTCTGTACAGTATAGTTTATTGCATTCTGCATCAACAGTATAGATGATTTTGTAGGGTTAGTGTCTTTCATGCAGTAAAAAATCATTGTTTAAAGGTACTGTTTGTGTGTGTGTGTACGTACTTGCTCGCTCATCTATTTGTACTTACCTATTTGTGGTTGCAGGAGTCAGTTCTCAAATCCTGGCCCCCCTCCTCTAAACTTTCACTCTTCTGATTCATATATGTGTGTGTATTATATTATATATATAATATATATATTTTTTAACATGCTGGCCATCTTCCTCCAAGGTAGTGTGACCTGAAAAAGAAACACTTTCACTATCATTTACACTATCACTGTCTTGCCAGAGACACACAGATATGGCAGTTTAAATGTCCCTCTAAACAGCAAATATCCCTAACCCCTACTTTAGAGTACAGGCATTGTACTTACCACCTCCAGGACTCAGGACCAGCTACCCAGTTTCCCTAAATTCCTTTAGAAAATATTACTTCACTCACATTCCAAGAGCTCTTCAAGTCCCAAAAACCATTTGTCTCCATTCACTTCTATCCTCAACATATCTCCACCCCTCCTTCGGTACAGTGTCTGCACTCTGAAAGAGTGGAAATATGTTGTAGTTTTTAAACTCTAGTGTAGGCACGTCTCTCGCAAGACAGTGATGGAGTGAGTGATAATGAAAGTGTTTTTTCTTTATCGGGTCACCTTACCTTGGTGGGAAACAGCAGATGTGTTGATAAAAAAATACGCATACACACATACGCATGCATGCACGCATGCACTCACTCACTTTCACTCACTCTCTCACTTTCACTCTCACCTCTCTCTCTCTCACCTCTCTCTCTATCACCTCTCTCTCTCACCTCTCTCTCTCTCTCACCTCTCTCTCTCTCACCTCTCTCTCTCTCTCACCTCTCTTCTCTCTCACCTCTCTCTCTCTCACTCTCTCACTCTCTCTTCACCTCTCTCTCTCTCACCTCTCTGTCTCTCTCTCACCTCTCTGTCTCTCTCTCACTTCTCTCCTCTCTCACCTCTCCTCTCTCTCTCTCTCTCCTCTCTCCTCTCTCACCTCTCTCTCTCTCCTCTCCTCTCTCTCTCCTCTCTCTCTCCTCTCCCTCTCTCTCTCTCTCTCCTCTCTCTCTCTCTCTCACTCTCTCTTCTTTCTTCTCTCTCTCTCTTGCTCATTCCTCTCTATCACTTCTCTCTATCCTCACCTCTCTCTCTCACCTCTCTCTCCCTCTCTACTCTCTTTTTTTTTTTTACACAGGGTTTGACAAGGTTAAGGATCCCTAGCTTTATTGACAAGCTATTTACAGGTTAAGGATTCCTAAATTTATTGGCAAGCTAAGAGCTGTTACCTACATCAGCTCATTTGAAAGCATTTTTATTGTTATGAGACATACAAGTGGGAACAGGATGAAGTTGGAGCCATTGTGGGCCAGCATTTTCATTTGATCAACTGACTTCATCTCGTTGACATCATTATGCTGTACGAATGTGTCCATACTCGAATCATCCTGGTGTATGTATGATCTCAGATGGAGTGATGTTCGGAGAAGGGTACAGCCAGAGTGAAGTTGCTGCTTTCTGCCCGTCTTGTGGCATAAAAGCTTGTTCATGCTGTCCTCGAAGTGGATCCAAGTGTGGTATTTTGACAATATTGGCCTTGTACATAACAGTAAGGCACCCCACATCCCTCCTATGTTGAAGGCTCTGCTGAAATGAAGATCTATCCAGGATGGGCCCCAGGCGAGAGATGAGACGTCTTGCTCTGTTCTTTTACTCTGTCAAGCCGTCGCAGATGAAGGGGGGGGGGGGCAGGCAAACCAAGAAAGTGGAGCATACTCAGGTGTGAGGTACTTGTGTCTCGTACAGGATCTTGCAACCCCTACTGTCAAGCAGATGGGGAGATACGGCGAAGTGCTGTAAGCTTCCTGGCTGCCTTGTTTGCAAGATTTACAACAGGGTTTTCTTCATGGTTATTTTTGGAGTCAAATTTCACCCCAAGGATATAAATTTTCTCCAGGTGCCAACACCCTCCCATTCATCCTTACTACTGCACCAGCATTACCATCATGGTGCCTAGAGACGATTCATCATTTGTGTTTTCTCAGGTGCAAATGTTACTTGCCATGTATTTCCCCAAGCTGATATAGCTCTCAGCTGGTGATTGATGTAGTTTTAGAGCAGCTGGCATTTCTTCTCTGGAAAAGTGAATGTCAGTGTACAGTCGTCTGCATATGCATGTGATTCTGGGATGAGATAAAGAAGGTCATAGAAGTAGACATTCCATAACAATGGCCCCAGCACGCTTCCTTGTGGAACACTTCCCCCAAATTTAGGATGTCTTGCTGTTTCCGTTCCATTGAGAATACACTTAGAGATCTACCATGAAGGTAATCACTGAGGGGGACATAGTGTAGAGCCTGCAATTCCCAGTGCTTGAAGTTTTGCTAAGAGGCCCTGGTGCCACACCCGGTCAAAAGTGCCAGCAAGTCCAGTGCTACCACACAGCTGACTTTGGATTCATCCAGTGACTAGTGCCACTTAGTGGAGGGGTTTAACACAGATCATCAGCAGAGTAACCTTTCCTGAAGCCATATTGACGATCACAAAGTAGTGAGTGGTAGTCAAAAAACTCTGTCATTTGTCTTGGAGATTATTGTCTCAAGGATCTTACCAGTGATTGCAGGAGTGACATGGTCTGTAGTTGCTGTTTTCTGCTCTGCTCTTCTTTTTTGTGAACAGGGACTACATTTGCCTCTTTCCATAGAGAGGGCCATTTACACTGTACTAGGCAGTGCTGAAAGATGCGAGTTAGAGGTTGCTGCTAGCTGGCTGCACATCTTCTCAAAAATTTTGGGCTCAACTTGTCGGGGCCCACAGCTTTTTGGTTCAAGCGTTTTTAAGAAGGAAATGCACCTCCTCGCCTTATTGTCACCACGGGACATTTTTTGACACAGTTCTCGCAGCTAGCCAAGAAGGGGTCCCTTGCTGGATCAGGAACTTGCATTTTGGTAGCAAAGTGTTCAGCAAAGAGGTCCGCCTTCTCTTGACTACTAGTAGAGGTGGTCCCATCCTGTCGATTTAGAGGTGGAATGAGTTCATCAGGCAGATAACCTTGTCTGTCCTTGACCAGGGACGCCCAGGTTTTGGAGCCTACCCTACCTGATGCTAGCTTTCTTTTAGTGTCCACCTCCCATTTAGCAATGGCCCACTTTTGAACGTACCCATAGGGCCTACAGGCTTGCGTTTTGCAAGTTCCTGTTATAGGTGGTAGGATGTCTCTTATACCTTCGCCATGCTTTGTACTTAGCAGTAGCAGCCTCTTTTACAACGAAAGCCAAACCAAGGCTGATCTGTAGGCTTTGTCACATATTGTCGGTGAGGAATGTGTACTTTTTGTAGATTAAGGATGTGTCCAGTGAAGGCTTTTTACTTGGTTGTCAAATCCCCCTTTGGGGAAGAGCATTCCAACGGTGGTGGCGAGCTCAGAGCAAAGGGCTGGCCAATTAAACCCCTTTCCCCTAGCCCGGTTGTGCGTGTGGACTCCTCACCTGTTTGTTGGGATTTTTAAGTGTGGTAAAAAACAGCCCTTTTGGTCAGACGATCCAACGTAGCCGAGGGGTTTGACAAGTGACTATGCCTTCTGCCAGATCACTCACTACTGGGTCAAGGGAGGAGCCAGAGATATGAGTGGGAAATCACAAAGTTTCTCATGTCAACACTGCAAGAAGGTCATCAAAGTCCGTCTGTATAAGGTGCTGGCTGAGGTCACCAACAATTATAATATGTTGACAGTTGTGTTGTAGCAGAAGGGAGTCAATATTTTCCATTAGAAAGTTGATGGGGTCTGCATGTTGCCACTGAGGTCTGTACATTGCACATGCTAGTCAGAGGTAAATTTGTGTTTATACAGAGCTTGAAGAACATCATTTCAAGATGTGTAGGGGTGGCAACATCAATGTGCTGGGCATGAACACTTTTAGAGAAGCACACAGCAACACCTCCTCCTTGTCCTTGCCTGTCTCTTCTCATCCATGAGGTGTAGCCAGCAATTCTTGCAAAATTTTCTGGAGTCCTGTCATCCAAAAATGTTTCAACAACAGCTATCATGTCGGGACGTCGAGTGTTCACAAAACTACGTGTGAGCTCTCCAATATTAGTAATGAAACCTCTAATGTTGGCCGACAGGAGTGATAGACTGGCTTCTCATGATGAAGTGGTCAGCTTGAGGTGGTGGGTGTGTAGGGAATGTAAGGTGCCTGCCCTTGAGAGAGGTAGGGTACTGAGGCAGCTGCAGGGATTTTAGGTCTGTGGTCTTGTTATAAAGGGACAATACCCCTGCTGGGCTGGGATAGGAGTAGCTAAGTGGGTGACGTGTGAGAGTGCTCACCAATTCAGAGAACCTGCTGGTTTGTTCTGAGAACAGGTCTCTAAACAGGTGGCCCTGTCTGTCAAGTTCCTTTTTCTTCCGACACTGGTCCTTCTGATGTCCTTTCTTGTAGCAGTAATTACACCTGGTATCTCGCAGGCAGTTGTTGGCAGTGTGCCCCTTCCGGTGACAGCGAGAGCACAGCCTAGGTGCCTGGGAGGGTGGACTAGAATTTGTTGCACCTCCTGTGTTTTGCAGATTTGTCCTCAGATTCTGCCGCTGGAACTGTGTTAGTGGAGGGTGAGACGGCTGTAGATGTCTTCCTCTCTCTCTCTCTCTCTCTCATGTCTCACTCCTCTCTCTCCCCCCTCTTTCTCTCTCTCCCTCCCTTCCCAACCACACCTCACTCATTCTGAAAGATGATTATATCTTAAATTCTTAATGTAGTACATAAATTTAAGAATGTTTCTTTATTTCCGGTTTTAAAGATTAAAGGATGCTTGATATACGTAGCAATACTTATTACTCAAAGAAACTCCTAACATGCATTTTATTTTATTATATATTGTTTACTTAAATTATAATGGCCATATTTTATTTGTTGAAGCAAGTAGCAATTTACATTTAAAATAGTAGTAATAATTCATCCAAAGTCATACATAGGAAAATAACAGTATAATTCTACCATTATTACTAATATAAAGATTGTTTTACCATCATCTTTTTTTCAGGAAGAAAAATTATGCATTAATTTATGATGCCTGGCTATATTACATAATTGAAATCTTTGCTACGGGTTATATACTGTAGTTTTAATCATACTCGTAATACTTCATGTTAATTATCAAATACATATGTTGTTTTGTATAATTCTTTGCCTATTTTTCATTAAAGGTAGCTAAAATCTAATATTATATAAAAAATTTATTTTATTACTGAAATTCACTTGCTTTATTTTGTAAGTTTACTTATTTGTGATTACCTTTCTGTAGTTTCAAGAGCAAAGCTGTGTTCATAGTGTGCTGTCTGTGGTGTTTGTTTTGTCATATTTAAGATTTCTTTGGTTGTAGCACTTACCAGTAGTACGCTTATCAGTACTACATTTACCAGTACAGTGGACCCCCGGTTAACGATTTTAATCCGTGCAAGAGGGGTAATTGTTATGCGAAATAATCGTTATGTGAATGAATTTTCCCCATAAGAAATAATGGAAATAAAATTAATCCGTGCAAGACACCCAAAAGTATGAAAAAAAAAATTTTACCACATGAAATATACATTTTCCCACACACAAAGAGAAGGATACATGCACAATAGTAGAGTAGTACATGCACAGTATATATTGTGCATGTACTAGTCTACTAAATGAAGAATAAATGACACTTACCTTTATTGAAGATGCAGCAATGACTGATGAGACACTGTGTCCTGGGAGTGCCTTTTCCTCCTGAGTACTGTAGGTCCTGTTTGGCATTTTCTTCCAGAACAGGCCTTATCACACTGTGTATGCCACTACGATTCTTAAATCTCTCAAACCAACCTTTGCTGGCTTTAAATTCACCAATATGAGCACTAGTTCCAGGCATTTTTCCCTGTTCACCTGGGTGTTAGTCGACTTGTGTGGGTTGCATCCTGGGAGATAAGATTAAGGACCCCAATGGAAATAAGTTAGACAGTCTTCGATGACACTGACTTTTTTGGGTTATCCTGGGTGGCAAATCCTCTGGGTTAATTGTTTCTTGGTATTCTCAATAAGCCACACCAACAACGGTGCTACAGCAGCAGCAGCAGCTGACAGTGCAGCAGCAGCAGCAGCTGACAGTGCAGCAGCAGCAGCAGCTGTACCACCAATAGTAGCGATGGTTGATTGGGGTTTATTATACAACCTGGCCAGCTCGGAGACATGCACTCCACTTTCATACTTATCAATGATCTTTTTCTTCATCTCTATTGTAATTCTCACCCTTATTGCTGTAGGGTTGGCACTAGAAGCTTTCTTGGGGCCCATGGTCACTTATTTTCCAGAAAAAGCACCGAAAACACTGTAATAATACGAAATATTCCGATTGTATGCTTGGATGTTACCGCGGAGGCTGGCTGGTAAACAATGCCACCGGCGGAACATGTGAGCGCGTCTCGGAAGAAAATCGGTAAGCGGGTTTTTAAGCGGTATGTGAGGCAAAATTTTTGCAATTAAAGTAAGCGGTATGCGAAATAATCGCTATGTGATGCCATCGTTATGCGGGGGTCCACTGTATTTCAGTATTTCGTGATGCAATGATTGCCATTATAAGTGTAAATATAAGCATGGTGTGGTGTAAACCTTGGTAATAGATACCAACAAATTGGTTTAGAAAGACACACAAGTAAACATGAGAACATACTAGAAAACATTTCGGTCCTGGGACCTTGATCACTTCTCACATGTCCTTCTAAACCATGTTGTCGGTATCTGTTACCATGCATATACCATACTGTCTGACGTTATAATGGTGTACCATATTTTTTGGAGCTGAGTTCTTCATCAAGGGAGGTGCCTTGATGCAGGTGAGGGACTCATGAGTTGAGCAACGGGACTTCTCCTACCCTTCCTTGAACTGAACCTGATTGCCTTCCATTCCCCTAGCTCTATATGGTTTAGAGCTTCCCCAGATTATAAACAAAGTATGCGAGTTTCATATACAGTATGGGCTTGCAGCAGTGCTCCTTCCTTCTTAACCAGGTGTAACTTGAAACTGCCTAACATGGGCCAGTAGGCCTGTTGCAGTGCTCCTTATGTTTTTATATACAGTATTGTATACTGTACTGCAAAATATTAATTAAATGTCAAGGGTATGTTATATTTGGTCATGGGTGTCTTATGCATGGTCATGGGTGTCTTATGTATGGTCATGGGTATGTTGTGAAGGGTCATAGATGTGCTTTGTATGGTCTTGAATGTGTGTATGATCATTGTTATGTAAGGTCATGGGTGTGCTGTGTATGATCTTGGGTGTGTTGTGTCTGATCATGGGTGTGTTGTGTATAATTATGGATGTTTTGTGTATAATCATAAGTGTGTTGTGAGGGGTCATGGGTATGTTGTGTATGGCCATGGATATGTTGTGTGTGATCATGGGTTTGTTGTTTAATGTCATAGGTGTTTTGTGTATGGTCATGGATGTGTTTTGTATGGTCATGGGTGTTTCATGTATGGTCATGAGTTTTGTGTGGTCATGGGTGTGTTGTGTATGGTATACCTGGAGGGTGTTTAAGGGGTTAGTGCTGCCCGCAGCCCAGTCCACGAGTGTGTTGTGTATGGTCATGGGTGTATTGTACATGGGTGTGTTGTACACTTATTTGATAGTCTGTAATATATTGTATACTGTAATTATTATTATTAATATTATTATCACTCAAAATTTTCAAAATTTGCAAATAGTATAAAATACATAAAGTATACTACATACTGTGGTAATTTTATAATGTACATAGCTATAAAAGTAATAAGTTACATATCTGAAAATAACTGCAAAATAAATAATTATTCTTATCACTCTTTCAGATTATAGAAAAGCTGACAGAGAAACAAGTGAAAAAGCAAGAGCACATCTATGAACTTATAATAACTGAAAAACACCACTGTCGTATGCTCAAAGTTATGCAGAAAGTAAGTAATCTCTATTCAATATATGAATTTGGATTAAAAAAAAGTGTGTGTATATTCTAGTCCTGTACTGTATTACAGTTTTTTATTATTAAAATTTATTAATTTTTTAATACAATTTTTTATCATGTAAATAATGTATCGCTGGAACATTTTTAATATTTCACTTCTTGAACTTACAGTCCGGAAACAATTCATCAGCACTTCAGATGTGTTTCAGCTGCATTTCCGGAGTACAAATAGGAAGCACATCTGTCTGGCACTCAGCAGACGGAGGATCAAGCCTCCACCTCAACTTTCGCTGAATGACCCATGTGGGTTAAGCGTTTAACATGAATTAATAACTGTTACATATTAACAGTTTTATTACACCCTAAATGCCTCTTATTCTTACTAAGTAGTTTTGTAATAATGCTTATTTTAGTATCATCATTTTATACTTCAATTGTGCTTTTGTAACCAAACCTTGTAGTGTGTAGTTTACAAAGCAACAGCTAACCATTATGAAATTAATATATTTCATCAAAGTTAAATAGTACTTCCTGGATAAGCATCAGATATACAGTAAACTCTTCATTCATTTCTTATGAGCCATACAAAGAAGTTACAGTAGATATACAGTGGACCCCCTGTTTTCGTCCTCAATCCATTCCAGAAGGTTGGTTGAAATCCGAAATGGATGAAAAGTGAAGTAATATTTCTCATAAGAAACAATGTAAATCAAATTAATCTGTTCCAGATGCCCAAAAATATTAACAAAAATTAAATTAAGTTAGTAATAGAATTAGGCATTAAAAACACAATAAAAAGTAAAATACATACACAGTACATTCATTACTTACCTTAAAATGTTTGTAGTCTTAATGTAGGGTGAGAGGTGAGTAGTATTTATTTGTAGGAAGTCAGTGTAGGTAGCCAGTAGGCGGAGTGGCCCAGAGCCATATTATTACCATCGACATACCATGTTCATTGAGTTTAATCGTTTCTAACAACTACCTTTAGATGCCATCATAAACAAAGGGAGAAATAACGAATAATTTATGCTGAGAATTGTAAACAAAAGCGTTATGTATTAAGGGAGGTGACTGGGCCAACGGAAATTCATACATGTTTTATCTAATGCTGGACCAGAGAAAACGTAATGGTTTCCTTCCACCGACTACCACATTTTATGTTTATATACCCAGGAGGTGTGGTAGCCGGGCAGAGGGAAAACATTACATCACTCCCCTTAATACATGACGCTTTTGTTTACAATTCTCGGCATGAATTATTCATTACTTCTCCATTTGCTTATAATGGCATCTAAAGGTAGTTGATAGAAACAATTAAATTCAGTGAACATGGTATGTTGATGGTAATAATATGGCTCTGGGCCACATTAAATATCGTGTAGCCATGTAGGTAGGTGTATGGATGTAGCCCAGGCAGACTACATACCTACATTATTATTATAACTGATAATTATACGTATGTGTACCTATACCTAAGTAAACTTACACACTGTGCTGGCATGCAGGTGCACATTAAAATCACTAAGAGTGTCTTATAAGTCTTGAAGACACCATATTAATAATGATAATAATAATAACACAATAATAATCACTAAGGAGCATTAAATATCGTATAAAACGTTAATATTGACATTTTCCTTAATCCATCTAAATACACCCTACAGTAGAATAAATTAACATAAATATGAGATGTGCTAGCCAGGTGACTTGCAGGACTTGTGGTAGCCAGGTGACTTGTCGTAGCCAGGCAACTTGTAGGACTTGTGGTAGCCAGGCGACTTGTCGTAGCCAGGCAACTTGTAGGACTTGTGGTAGCCAGGCAACTTGTGGAAGCCAGGCAACTTGTGGTAACTAGGCAACTTGTGGTAACCAGGCAACTTGTAGGACTTGTGGTAGCCAGGTAACTTGTGGTAGCCAGGCAATTTGTGGAAGCCAGGCAACTTGTGGAAGCCAGGCAACTTGTGGTAACCAGGCAACTTGTAGGACTTGTGGTAGCCAGGTGACTTGTAGGACTTGTGGTAGCCAGGCAACTTGTAGGACTTGTGGTACCAGGCAACTTGTAGTCCAACATCAGAGAAAATGTTTTTTTTATTAATTTTTTTTTTATTAACGCACTGGCCAATTCCCACCAAGGCAGGGTGGCCCGAAAAAGAAAAACTTTCACCATCATTCACTCCATCACTGTCTTGCCAGAAGGGTGCTTTACACTACAGTTTTTAAACTGCAACATTAACACCCCTCCTTCAGAGCGCAGGCACTGTACTTCCCATCTCCAGGACTCAAGTCCGGCCTGCCGGTTTCCCTGAACCCCTTCATAAATGTTACTTTGCTCACACTCCAACAGCATGTCAAGTATTAGTAAATGTCTACAGGAGAAGGGGTTACTAGCCCATTGCTCCTGGCATTTTAGTCGCCTCATACGACACGCATGGCTTACGGAGGAAAGATTCTTTTCCACTTCCCCATGGACAATAGAAGAAATAAAGAAGAACAAGAGCTATTTAGAAAAAGGAGAAAAACCTAGATGTATGTATATATATATGCATGTGCATGTCTGTGAAGTGTGACCAAAGTGTAAGTAGGAGTAGCAAGATATCCCTGTTATCTAGCGTGTTTATGAGACAGAAAAAGAAACCAGCAATCCTACCATCATGCAAAACAGTTACAGGTTTCTGTTTCACAGTCATCTGGCAGGACGGTAGTACTTCCCTGGGTGGTTGCTGTCTACCAACCTACTACCTGTGTCACTTTAATATTACTGGGGGTAACTAGAAAATTATTCCTTTCGTATGCCTTCACTCAGGGTGTCATTTCTTCTAAAAATTGTCACGTGATAATGGGAGTGTTTCTCTTTATTTATTCTACTGTATCAACGTGGAGACAACTTGTACACAGTGTAAAGTGACCAAACCCAGACGAGCACATCTCGTTTGTTTACATTATGTGTGGGTGGTGGTGGGGAGGGCTGCCCTTCCTGGCTACCCATACTTCCCAATCTGAATTCATACAAATAAAACTCACCTCTCACCCTACATTAAGACTACAAATATTTTAAGGTAATTAACAAGTGTACTATATATGCATTTTATCACTTTAGGGAGCTTAATGTCGTAGTAGGTATAAGTGGTCAGGCAGGATGCCATACCTCCCACACGACTTTCTACAAATAAATACTTTTCACCTCTCACCCTACATTAAGACCATTAAGATTATAAATATTTTAAGGTAAGTAATACGTATACTGTATATGCATTTTATCAAATGATTTTATACCTGATACACCCTGCCTTCTTGCTACACTCCCTGCATGCCTGCTACACTCCCTACATGCCTGCTACACTCCCTACATGCCTGCTACACTCCCTATATGCCAGCTACACCCCTTGCCTCTATACCTGCCTGTTACACTCACTGGCTGCCTGCTACACTCCCTCCCTGCCTGCTACACTCCCTCCCTGCCTGCTACACTCCCTGCCTTCCTGCTACACTCCCTGCATGCCTGCTACACTCCTTGCCTCTCTGCCTGCCTGCCTTCAATTCTGTCATGTTTCTCACTTTCTTTACGAAAGGAACTTTAGTAAAGAAAGTACTTTGGGGCCATGGTTACTTATTTTGCAGTTGCACTTAATCAGTAACCACCAAAAACAATGGATTATAGAGAAATGTTTGGATGAATAAGCACAAGCTTCCTCACTCTCCCAGAGACACAGCCACACTGACTCAGGAACGAGCGAGCAGCTAGTGGATGCATCCAGTACGGCCGATAACATGAAGCTGAAAAACCAGCCTATAACCGAGTTGGCCGATAAGGGGATTGGCCGATAACTGAGGGTCTACTGCATTAACAAAAAATAAGACATTTAATGTGCCCAAGAGTGATTATTATTAAGTATTAGTATTACGTGTATTACTGTGGCATTAAGACTAGAGGGACACTCTTAGTGAACGAGTAACGAAGGCATGTTTATATGCCATGTAACATGTTTCTTATATAATTTTAAAGAAAATACCATAGATGGATTAATGAAAATGTATATATTAGCATAAAATAAGGCATTTAACCCTTTGACTGTCGAGGTCGTATATATACGTCTTACGAGGTACCGTGTTTGACGTATATATACTCATAAATTCTAGCGGCTTCAAATCAAGCAGGAGAAAGCTGGTAGGCCCACATGTGAGAGAATGGGTCTGTGTGGTCAGTGTGCAACATATAAAAAAAATCCTGGAGCATGCAGTGCATAATGAAAAAAAAAAACTACAGTTTTTTTTTAATTAAAATGCCGACTTTGTGGTCTATTTTTGTATAGTGTTTATGGTTGTATTCTCGTTTTCTTGGTCTCATTTGATAGAATGGAAAACATATTATAGAAATAGAGGTGATTTTGATTGATTGTACTGTAAAAAGAATCTGGAAATGGAGCTCAAAGTAGGGGAAATGTGTGATTTTTGCCGATGTTCAAAAGTAAACAAATGTCGTTGTCCAATATATGTCCTACTAGCCATTCTAATATGCAGTCATGAATAGGTTGATGTTATTTATACAATTATTACAGTATTGCAGTAGTCTGCATAACAGTAAATCTTCTATTTTTTGTTTGAATAAAAACTCAAAATAGAAAGCAAGAGTAATATCAGAGGGGCTTGGAGATGTGACTGATGAACAAAGAAAATGTTATTTTAGAGCCAGGAATGTCTGCATTGTTCATTCTGGACCTTATTTTGAAATTGTCATATTTTTTAATTTTCATGAAATTGGCCAAATTGCAAATTTCTGACCACGTTATTGGGTAGTTGAAATCGGTAAATGGGCAGTTTCTTGTACTCAATCGATAGAAAAAATGGAGTTCTAAAGAAATAGCTATGAGTTTTGTCGACTGGAACAATGGAATTAGCCGAAAATAGGGCTCAAAGTGGGCGAAATCGCCGATTTGTAAATATCACCGAGGTCGCTAACTTCCTGAGAGCGTAATTCCGTCAGTTTTCCATCAAATTTCGTGTTTTTGGTGTCATTACAATCGGGAAAAGATTATCTATCATTTCATAAGAAAAAATATTTTTTTTTTTTTTAAATTTTGCGACGCCAGGAGACACTTCAGGATTGGGGGTTGCGACAGTTAAGGGGTTAATGTGCCCAAGAGTGAGTCATGAACGTATGAGAGGCTCGGACGGACGCGTCTGGTATGTATGATTTCCAAGCGGATGTACGAAACCCGGGGTAAAATTTCGCCAAAAAAAAGTGGTCGAAATCTGAATTGTATGATTTCCACACTGGACAAAATCCGGGGGTCCACTGTACATAATTTGATACAACTGTAGGCAGCACTGAAAGCCACTAATTATGCATTGCATTTCAGGCAGACTAATCATGAAGCTTGCATACCACTTAAGTCTAAACCTAGCATATTATTTAAGACATTGAGTATTAGTGTGGCTTGTGTAATTTGCTACAGTCACAATTAACAGTGAGACAGGTTGTGAAAGACAAATTGGTCATTTACTAGTGAATTACATAGAATTTACATTGGTGTAATGGAGTTATTATTTTTTAACACACCAGCCATCTTCCACTGAGGTAGGGTGACCTGAAAAGAAGAAACACTTTAACCATCTCTCATTCCATCACTGTCTCACCAGAGGCATGCTGATACTATAGTTCACAACTTTAAATATCCTCACCCTTTCTTCAGAGTGTTGGGGAGATGGGTGGGATAAATTATGGGGAGTCAAATACAAAATGGGGTTTGACACAGTTACTTTTTGCTGATGCTTTTGGGAGATTCTAAAGCAAAGTTGCAAAGGTTAGTGGACGAATTTGGGAGGGTGTGTAAAGGAAGAAAGTTGAAGTGAATGTAGATAAGAGTAAGGTGATGAGGGTATCAAATGAGTTAGGTAAAGAAAAATTGGATGTTACATTGGAGGGAGGGAGTATGGAAGGAGTAAATGTGTTCAGATATTTGGGAGTAGACTTGTCAGTGGATGGGTTTATGAAGGACGAGGTAAACCCTAGAATTGATGAAGGAAAAAAGGTAGAAAATAGAGGTGGTGTGGAGTTACTAAAAGTATTATTCAGAGGGCTGAGGAGGGGCTGTTGACGTAGTTTGGTCATTTAGAGTGGATGGAACAAAATAGGATGATTGCAGGGTGTATAAATCTGTAGTGGAAGGGAGGAGGGGTAGGGGTTGTCCTAGGAAAGGATGAAGGGAGGGGGTAAAAGAGGTTTTGTGTGAAAGGGGCTTGGACATAGAGCAGGCATGTGTGAGCATCTGTTAGATAGGAGGGAATGGAGACGAATGGTTTTTGGGACTTAACAATCTGTTGGAGTGTGAGCAGGGTAATATATTGTGAAGGGATTCAGGGAAACCATTTAGCCAGACTTGAGTCCTTGTGGTGGGAAGTACAATGCCAGGACTTTAGAGGAGGCGTTTGAGATATTGGCTGTTTGGAGTGACATCCGAACTGTCATATCTGCATGCCTCTGCAAAGACAGTGATTATGAGTGAATGATGGTGAAAGTGTTTCTTTTTTGGGTTGCCCTGCCTCAGTGGGAGACGGCCAACGAGTTGAAAAAAAAAAAGGTGTATGTGTGTGTACATATGTATGTACACTGCTTTAATATGTATTCAGTTACACTGCTAACATTTATCTAATGATGCAATTCTGTACCTTTCAGGTATTTGCAGAAGGAATGTCTCGTGAGCTTAATATGCAAGAATCCAGAATTAAAAAAATTTTCCCTTGTCTGGATGAGCTTATCACAATACATTGCTCATTTCTTTGGCGATTGCGACAAAGACAGAGAGGCAGCAAGTATATTGAAACTATTGGTGACCTTTTAATCGACCAATTTATAGGCGACAATGCCCAGGGGCTCAAAGATGCTTATGGACAGTTTTGCTCGCAACACCAAGATGCTGTAAGTTTACAAGCAGGGTATTCTAATGGTAATAAAATATTTTGCAAATTGTCACAATGTTACATGTAGGATGGTTAAGGTAAACAGAATTTACATAAAATTGTAGTTGAAGTAAGAGAATGCTAGAGATAAAATTATTTAAATTTAGAAATGGTGTGGCAGTATTCAGGAGGCAGGGCACAGAAAAAATTCACCCAGATTTTTTTAGTGTCCTGATTTCTATATAAGAACTATATGGAGCATAAAATACAAAAATTATTTTTTTTTTTTTTTTATTATCACACCGGCCGATTCCCACCAAGGCAGGGTGGCCCGAAAAAGAAAAACTTTCACCATCATTCACTCCATCACTGTCTTGCCAGAAGGGTGCTTTACACTACAGTTTTTAAACTGCAACATTAACACCCCTCCTTCAGAGTGCAGGCACTGTACTTCCCATCTCCAGGACTCAAGTCCGGCCTGCCGGTTTCCCTGAATCCCTTCATAAATGTTACTTTGCTCACACTCCAACAGCACGTCAAGTATTAAAAACCATTTGTCTCCATTCACTCCTATCAAACACGCTCACACATGCCTGCTGGAAGTCCAAGCCCCTCGCACACAAAACCTCCTTTACCCCCTCCCTCCAACCCTTCCTAGGCCGACCCCTACCCCGCCTTCCTTCCACTACAGACTGATACACTCTTGAAGTCATTCTGTTTCGCTCCATTCTCTCTACATGTCCGAACCACCTCAACAACCCTTCCTCAGCCCTCTGGACAACAGTTTTGGTAATCCCGCACCTCCTCCTAACTTCCAAACTACGAATTCTCTGCATTATATTCACACCACACATTGCCCTCAGACATGACATCTCCACTGCCTCCAGCCTTCTCCTCGCTGCAACATTCATCACCCACGCTTCACACCCATATAAGAGCGTTGGTAAAACTATACTCTCATACATTCCCCTCTTTGCCTCCAAGGACAAAGTTCTTTGTTTCCACAGACTCCTAAGTGCACCACTCACTCTTTTTCCCTCATCAATTCTATGATTCACCTCATCTTTCATAGACCCATCCGCTGACACGTCCACTCCCAAATATCTGAATACGTTCACCTCCTCCATACTCTCTCCCTCCAATCTGATATTCAATCTTTCATCACCTAATCTTTTTGTTATCCTCATAACCTTACTCTTTCCTGTATTCACCTTTAATTTTCTTCTTTTGCACACCCTACCAAATTCATCCACCAATCTCTGCAACTTCTCTCAGAATCTCCCAAGAGCACAGTGTCATCAGCAAAGAGCAGCTGTGACAACTCCCACTTTGTGTGTGATTCTTTATCTTTTAACTCCACGCCTCTTGCCACAACCCTCGCATTTACTTTTCTTACAACCCCATCTATAAATATATTAAACAACCACGGTGACATCACACATCCTTGTCTAAGGCCTACTTTTACTGGGAAAAAATTTCCCTCTTTCCTACATACTCTAACTTGAGCCTCACTATCCTCGTAAAAACTCTTCACTGCTTTCAGTAACCTACCTCCTACACCATACACTTGCAACATCTGCCACATTGCCCCCCTATCCACCCTGTCATACGCCTTTTCCAAATCCATAAATGCCACAAAGACCTCTTTAGCCTTATCTAAATACTGTTCACTTATATGTTTCACTGTAAACACCTGGTCCACACACCCCCTACCTTTCCTAAAGCCTCCTTGTTCATCTGCTATCCTATTCTCCGTCTTACTCTTAATTCTTTCAATTATAACTCTACCATACACTTTACCAGGTACACTCAACAGACTTATCCCCCTATAATTTTTGCACTCTCTTTTATCCCCTTTGCCTTTATACAAAGGAACTATGCATGCTCTCTGCCAATCCCTAGGTACCTTACCCTCTTCCATACATTTATTAAATAATTGCACCAACCACTCCAAAACTATATCCCCACCTGCTTTTAACATTTCTATCTTTATCCCATCAATCCCGGCTGCCTTACCCCCTTTCATTTTACCTACTGCCTCACGAACTTCCCCCACACTCACAACTGGCTCTTCCTCACTCCTACAAGATGTTATTCCTCCTTGCCCTATACACGAAATCACAGCTTCCCTATCTTCATCAACATTTAACAATTCCTCAAAATATTCCTTCCATCTTCCCAATACCTCTAACTCTCCATTTAATAACTCTCCTCTCCTATTTTTAACTGACAAATCCATTTGTTCTCTAGGCTTTCTTAACTTGTTGATCTCACTCCAAAACTTTTTCTTATTTTCAACAAAATTTGTTGATAACATCTCACCCACTCTCTCATTTGCTCTCTTTTTACATTGCTTCACCACTCTCTTAACTTCTCTCTTTTTCTCCATATACTCTTCCCTCCTTGCATCACTTCTACTTTGTAAAAACTTCTCATATGCTAACTTTTTCTCCCTTACTACTCTCTTTACATCATCATTCCACCAATCGCTCCTCTTCCCTCCTGCACCCACTTTCCTGTAACCACAAACTTCTGCTGAACACTCTAACACTACATTTTTAAACCTACCCCATACCTCTTCGACCCCATTGCCTATGCTCTCATTAGCCCATCTATCCTCCAATAGCTGTTTATATCTTACCCTAACTGCCTCCTCTTTTAGTTTATAAACCTTCACCTCTCTCTTCCCTGATGCTTCTATTCTCCTTGTATCCCATCTACCTTTTACTCTCAGTATAGCTACAACTAGAAAGTGATCTGATATATCTGTGGCCCCTCTATAAACATGTACATCCTGAAGTCTACTCAACAGTCTTTTATCTACCAATACATAATCCAACAAACTACTGTCATTTCGCCCTACATCATATCGTGTATACTTATTTATCCTCTTTTTCTTAAAATATGTATTACCTATAACTAAACCCCTTTCTATACAAAGTTCAATCAAAGGGCTCCCATTATCATTTACACCTGGCACCCCAAACTTACCTACCACACCCTCTCTAAAAGTTTCTCCTACTTTAGCATTCAAGTCCCCTACCACAATTACTCTCTCACTTGGTTCAAAGGCTCCTATACATTCACTTAACATCTCCCAAAATCTCTCTCTCTCCTCTGCATTCCTCTCTTCTCCAGGTGCATACACGCTTATTATGACCCACTTCTCGCATCCAACCTTACTTTAATCCACATAATTCTTGAATTTACACATTCATATTCTCTTTTCTCCTTCCATAACTGATCATTTAACATTACTGCTACCCCTTCCTTTGCTCTAACTCTCTCAGATACTCCAGATTTAATCCCATTTATTTCCCCCACTGAAACTCTCCTACCCCCTTCAGCTTTGTTTCGCTTAGGGCCAGGACATCCAACTTCTTTTCATTCATAACATCAGCAATCATCTGTTTCTTGTCATCCGCACTACATCCACGCACATTTAAGCAACCCAGTTTTATAAAGTTTTTCTTCTTTTTTTTTTTAGTAATTGTATACAGGAAAAGGGTTATACCCATTGCCCCGGCTTTTAGTCCCTCATCGACCGCAGGGCTTACGAAAATTTTTTTTCCCTTTTCCCCCCATGGACAAAAAAGAAATAAAAAAAAAAAAGAGCATTTGAAAAAAAGAAAAAACCTAGATGATTAATATTTTGCTGTGCGTGTCGTGAAGTGTGACCAAAGTGTAAAGTAGGAGTAGCAAGATACCCGTTTCTTAGCGTGTTTTGAGACAAAAAAAAGAAACCAGAAAATCCTACCATCATGCAAAAAAAGTTACAGGTTTTTTTTTCACGATTGGCAGGACGGTAGACTTCCCCGGGGGGTTGCTGTCTACCAACAGGGGTGAATAACTAAAAATGCAAAAACCCCTTTGATTTTAACAAACTAAATGATTTAACCCTTTTTTTAAATGCGATAAAAATGAATTATCGAAAATTGCCCTGATTTTTTTTTTTTTTGAAAATGGTCGTTTTGTAAACCAGGTTTAAAACCTGCCTCTTCCCTGACCCCCCACTCTGTATGCCTGTGTATATCACATAGGAAGATGTTTGGCTGGTAGAGATGTCAAATTTTTATGGTAAAATAGAAACTAGCCAACTCTAGGAAAATGAGCATTTGTGTTGATCATACATAGAAAAATTTAACTAATGTAAATAAAAGACGAAAGACCTAGGAGTAATATTGGCTAATAAAAATAATATAAAAGCAAGTAATAACTGAGCCAAGACAGTAAATATAAGCTATAGAATTATAAGCTACATTAACAGATCTTTCGTGTTTTGATCACAATCAATTAAATATTTTTGTTAACAACAAATTACAGATGCAGTGGACACTGTGGCCATGGTTTACAAAGTAACATTTTTACAAAGCCCATATTACACTCAGTATTTAGCCCAAAGATTTAAGTAACACTGTTTTTCATTTAATTTTTTTGGGAAAAGAATGTCTCTTCACCTAATTATTTTACAGTCCTTTCTAGAATATTTTTTTACCCAGATTTGTGATAAAAAGGACCGGGTTTAAAATGGGGGATTTCAGACTAATCTATGGAACAATCCCGTCTAAAAAAATAAATGACTTTTTTATTAAACAAAGAAAAAAATGACTATTTTTTTTTGTTGAATTTATGGGTTAAGAAGTTATCCTACCTCAATCATTGAAGCTCACCCTATACCTTTGTATCCCTTGGTTACTTGATCATTTTTGAGAATTTTCTTTTCCGGACCGGGCCCTTAGGTAGGCTTGCCCAGTGCTTGCTGGTCAACTGGATGTTGCGTTGGCTTTGCTGGGCCATATGTCCATCACTCTGGTTGATCTGCCCTGGTGGAGATACTTTCCATTTTTTTTTGAAAACTTTTCCCTTTGCCCCAGCAGGTTTTTGATATCTTCCAGAAGATACTGATAATTGGGCCCGTTTGTTGATACAATATTCCTACTGTGCCCAGGTTTCCCTGCTTTTCAGTGTGTTTATTTTGCATTCTAATCTCTTGCTTCAGTATTTTTTGGCAGAGGGGCAGATCTACTGGAAACTAATAAAGGTTGAGCTTCGGGGGCCCCAACCCTGGGGGGGCCCTTTTGAAAGCCCCTTGTTACATTGCTTGAAAATTTTTTGGTCTGTATAGAAGGGGTTTTTTTAAAAAATCAAACATCATAATAATAAAAAATATAAAAATTATAGTGTAATTCAAACAAAAAAATTTAAAATATAAATTAAAAGATTATTAAAGACGTGGTAAACCCTTGTGGGGGTGAAAGGGCCCCAAAACAATTTCAAACTTCAGGCCCCCCCAAAAAAATTTGGTCTACCACTGTATAATGGCAGTATGCAGATTCAAGACTAAGACCCTCAAGTACTTTCCACATCCATATTATCATGTATCTCTCTCCTATGCTCCAGTGAGTACTTATTTAGGCATTCCCAGTAATTTACATGATTTAGTGGCTCTGTGCAGGCAGTAAATGATCTCTATACCTGTTCCAGTTCTGATATTTCTCCTGCCCTGACCAGGAATATTCTAAATGAGAGAGCACAAGTACTTTGAAAAATGTCACCATTGGCACTATTTCTCTTATTTTGAAAATTCTCACTATTTAAGGTGTGCTACCAGCCTTTTCCAGGATGTAACCTTGGTACCTATTTACATTTAGGTAAATGAGCAAAAGGTGTAAGGAAATGTACCCAATATCTCTATACATCCCAGGATTGAACCTGGCTCTTGCTATTATGAGCCGAAGGTGTTACCACCGAGCCAGCCACCAAACTCATTTAAAAAGGTTTAGATCATGGTGAAGATTATAGGGTGATGTAATAGTACAAGTTCATATCTTAAATTACCAAAAGTCAAGATATTTATTCATTCATAAAATTATTTTACCTGCAGCTGCATCATAGGATTATAAAAACCATTCCCCAAAATGGTTTTCTCAGTTATGTAGCTTTATTTTTTTTAAAGGTAAAAGGAACAGCCCCATTTCTAGCAGTAAAATCCTCTACAAGCAATATTATTATTATTATTATTATCACACTGGCCGATTCCCACCAAGGCAGGGTGGCCCGAAAAAGAAAAACTTTCACCATCATTCACTCCATCACTGTCTTGCCAGAAGGGTGCTTTACACTACAGTTTTTAAACTGCAACATTAACACCCCTCCTTCAGAGTGCAGGCACTGTACTTCCCATCTCCAGGACTCAAGTCCGGCCTGCCGGTTTCCCTGAGCCCCCTCACAAACGTTACTTTGCTCACACTCCAACAGCACGTCAAGTATTAAAAACCATTTGTCTCCATTCACTCCTATCAAACACGCTCACGCATGCCTGCTGGAAGTCCAAGCCTCTCGCACACAAAACCTCCTTTACCCCCTCCCTCCAACCTTTCCTAGGCCGACCCCTACCCTGCCTTCCTTCCACTACAGACTGATACACTCTTGAAGTCATTCTGTTTCACTCCATTCTCTCTACATGTCCGAAGCACCTCAGCAGCCCTTCCTCAGCCCTCTGGACAACAGTTTTGGTAATCCCGCACCTCTTCCTAACTTCCAAACTACGAATTCTCTGCATTATATTCACACCACACATTGCCCTCAGACATGACATCTCCACTCACCTCCAGCCTTCTCCTCGCTGCAGCATTCATCACCCATGCTTCACACCCATATAAGAGCATTGGTAAAACTATAGTCTCATACATTCCCCTCTTTGCCTCCAAGGACAAAGTTCTTTGTCTCCACAGACTCCTAAGTGCACCACTCACCCTTTTCCCCTCATCATTTCTATGATTCACCTCATCTTTCATAGACTCATCCACTGACACATACACTCCCAAATATCTGAATACATTCACCTCCTCCATACTCTCTCCCTCCAATCTGATATCCAATCTTTCATCACCTAATCTTTTTGTTATCCTTATAACCTTACTCTTTCCTGTATTCACTTTTAATTTTCTTCTTTTGCATACCCTACCAAATTCATCCACCAATCTCTGCAACTTCTCTTCAGAATCTCCCAAGAGCACAGTGTCATCAGCAAAGAGCAACTGTGACAGCTCCCACTTTGTGTGTGATTCTTTATCTTTTAACTCCACGCCTCTTGCCAAGACCCTCGCATTTATTTCTCTTACAACCCCATCTATAAATATATTAAACAACCACGGTGACATCACACATCCTTGTCTAAGGCCTACTTTTACTGGGAAATAATTTCCCTCTTTCCTACACACTCTAACTTGAGCCTCACTATCCTCGTAAAAACTCTTCACTGCTTTCAGTAACCTACCTCCTACACCATACACCTGCAACATCTGCCACATTGCCCTCCTATCCACCCTGTCATATGCCTTTTCCAAATCCATAAATGCCACAAAGACCTCTTTAGCCTTGTCTAAATACTGTTCACTTATGTGTTTCACTGTAAACACCTGGTCCACACACCCCCTACCTTTCCTAAAGCCTCCTTGTTCATCTGCTATCCTATTCTCCATCTTACTCTTAATTCTTTCAATAATAACTCTATATTTCAATATTATATATTGAAAAAACTCCAAAATGCTAGTGACGGGCTCTTGATCCGAAGAACAGATGCTACTCTCCCTTTCCTAAGATTGAATGTGTTTGTGTCCCATTCCCCAAGGCACTGTATGGCCCCTTACAGGTATAGCGCTCACTAAACAAAATAAAATATTTTGAAAATTTATTTTTACTGGGCACAATAAGAAAAATTAATAAAATAATTTACTAAATATGGTTGATGCAACTCGTATAAAATTCTAAATTATTATGACAAACTTTGACAATTAGGCAATATAATAATTTATGTAAAAAAAAAAAGTAAAGGAGTAATAATTTCAGTCTTGTATTTCTCTCATATTTTGTAAAAGGAAATTTTTTGTCCATGAAGTAATAATTACCTCATTAATCAACTTTCATCTAGTAAAGATATTTCCCCTTATACCCAAAAATCAGATTTTTTGGGTCTGGGAGCATTTTGTAGCTTGTCTTTGGATTTTTTCTAGTTTCATCACATTTTTTCTTAGGCTTGAATACCATACTAGTACTGCACATTTCCATTATGGTCTAATATAATATGTTTTTACAGTTTTTTTAGTATTTCTCCTTTAAAGTTGGCTTCTTTGTATTTGCTGATGACTATTTAACCCTTAAACGGTCCAAACAGATCGACGTTCAAATTCGTAGTGCTACAAAAGTAGATCTACTATTTTTTTACATATTTTCAAATATAACAAAAAAAAATGTAGATAAAAGTTTTTTTTACATGTTTTCACATGTAAAACAAAAAAAAAATTACATTTTTTTACATACTTTCAGATGTTGAAAAACGTATATATATACGTTTGGACCATTTAAGGGTTAAAGTGTTATGTATTTATATGAGTGACATCTAAACTGTCGTATCTAGGCACCTCTGCAAAGACAGTGATTATGTGTGAATGATGGTGAAAGTGTTTCTTTTTTGGATCACCCTTCCTTGGTGGGAGACGGCCATGTGTTAAAAAAAAATTATATACATATATTATACTGTACCTAGATAATTTGTTTCATTATAGCTAGTGTGTGTGTGTGTGCATGTGTGCATTTATTTGTTTAGCACTTCCCATAATTTTATAATAATAAGGTAAGGAGTAAAGATATGATGAGAGAATAACTGCACAGCAGCATGTTTTTTTTTAAATATAGGGGTATTTTTAAATTGTCTCAATAAAACTTATAGTAGAACTATAGTAAACTTATACTAAAACAAAGATTCTTGTTTTACAGGTTTCTTATTATAAAGACATGCTCAAAACTGACCGAAGATTTCAAGGTTTCATCAGACAAAAATCTTCTCATCCACTTATGAAGAAGAAGGGTATTCCAGAATGCATATTGTTTGTAACCCACAGAGTAACCAAATACCCATTAATGCTTGAAGCATTAATGAAGTATAGTAAAGATCAAGAAGAGGAATTAGTCACATTAAAAAAGGCACTAGACTATGTAAAGGTAAGTGCAGTGTTACTATTATCTATTGTGCATTCCCTTCCCCCTCTCAAGGGAGGTTCCTTGATGCCTTTTAGGGGCTCTTTATGAAAGGAATTAGGTTTAGTCTATTCTTTCTTGGATTGAACCTGGGTATCTCCTGTTTATCCAGGCATTGTGCGACTCCTACAGGCTTAGCACTTTCCGTAAACATAGTAGTAAAATGTACTGTACATTAATAAAAGAAAATTAGTTACCTGAAAGCGTGCTAGCTTCAGAAAATCTGTTTGATCATTTTTTTGTATTCAGGAAAAATGTAATAGATAACTTCTCTTGAACATTATCTTTTAGAAGAGGGTGATGTTAGAAGGGAAGGTAGACGTATGGGAAAGATGGAAGGAATATTTAGAGGAGCTCTTAATGTTCATGATGAAAAAGAAGCAATGATTTCATGCAATATGCAGGGAGAAATAACATTTCATATTAGTAAAGAAGAGCCAACAGTTGATGTGGGGGAAGTGCAAGGTGCAGTGGGTAGAATGAAAGGGGGCTCAAGCAACTGGGGCAGGTGGGATTAAGACCATGATGTTCAAGGCAGGTGAGGATATAGATTTGAAATGATACAGCGGCAGTGTCAAGGGGAGTATCTTGGGTGACTTCAGCCACATAATTTCCTTAAGTGTCCCCTGTGATGACTGAAAAACTTACTTGAATAATAGTAGTTAGTTATAGCAGATTTAGGTAGTAGGTTGGTAGACAGCAACCGCCCAGGGAGGTACTACCGTCCTGCCAAGTGAGTGTAAAATGGAAGCCTGTAATTGTTTTACATGATGGTAGGATTGCTGGTGTCCATTTTTCTGTCTCATAAACATGCAAGATTTCAGGTATGTCTTGCTACTTCTACTTACACTTAGGTCACACTACACATACATGTACAAGCATATATATACACACCCCTCTGGGTTTTCTAATATTTTCTTACTAGTTCTTGTTCTTGTTGTTTATTTTCTCTTACCTCCATGGGGAAGTGGAACAGAATTCTTCCTCCGTAAGCCATGTGTGTTGTAGGAGGCAACTAAAATGCCGGGAGCAAGGGGCTAGTAACCTCTTCTCCTGTATATATTACTAAATGTAAAAGGAGAAACTTTGTTTTTCCTTTTGGGCCACCCCGCCTCGGTGGGATACGGCTGGTGTGTTGAAAGAAAAGAAAGAAGTTATAGCAGAGCAGATGATACTGAAGTTATATCTATGAATTTAAAAAGAGGCAGTGGCTAAATGTTGAAGGTATTATTGATCCTTTTTGCTTCCAAACATAACAAGAGGACTCACTCTGCTATAACCTTTCAGTTTCTTTGAGTCTTTCATTCGAGAGTAGAATGAATATATTATGCTCTTGCTGAGTATCATTACATCATAAAGGCCTTAGTGAATATCATTATTTTGATGGTTTACATATTGATATAATTTCATGTATGGTAATTACTACTCATATTCTCTGATATGGACACTTGTTTTCTCACTTGTATGTAAAGTGTGAATAAAAGGATCTTAAGAAAACATGGGTTTGAGGAATAAGCTCTAAACATTGCAGGAAGGAGGATGCTAAAGACAGTAGAAATGTCTTGTTTAAGAGAAATGTGTGCTCACCTATTTGTTCTCCTTTATTTGTGATTGCAGGGGCTGAATATAATATTATTCAGAGAATCTGGTGCATGAAAATTATAGGACCGAGTTACCATAAATATAATTCAGAGGGCTGAGGAAGGGTTGAAGTGGTTTGGGCATTTTGAGAGGATGGAGCAGAATAGAATGAACAAGAGGGAGGTGTATATCTGGGATTAAAGAAAGGAAGGAGGGTTTGGGGTCATCCCAGGAAGGGTTACAGAGGAAGTAAAAGGTTTTAGGTTAAAGGGTGTGAGCATTTAACAGTGTTAGATCCAGGTGATTGGAGACAGGTAGTTTTTTTTTATGGTTTGGCATTCTTTAGGAGTGTGAGCAAGGCAACATTTATGAAGGGATTCAAAGAAACTGGTTAACTGAACTTGAGTCCTGGAAGTGAGACGTACAAGTGCCTGCACTTAGTTGGTGGGAATGTTGCATATCAGAGGGTCATTTGAATTGTGGTATCTGTGCATATCTGGTTAAGCAGCTGTTGAATGAATGATGGTGAATGTGTTTAATTTTTGAGCTACCTTCTTGATGGGAGATAGCTAGTGTATTACAAAAAGTTTTCTTCTTGGAATGTTAGTTTTTGTCATTTTTTTTATAATGGTGCTGATGTATAGTATGCATTTTCAGGAAATACTTGTAAATATTAATGCTCAAGTAGCTGAGAAGGAAAGGGAACAAAGATTATTAGAAATCTATCATAAAATTGATGCAAAGTCTTCTGCAATATACAAGGAGCAGAAATTCAAGAAATCTGATTTCTTCTCCAGAAGTAGAAAGCTCAAGTAAGTAATTCAGAGATTCATATTCCGGTGTATGTGCACAAATAATTTTGACAAGCAGGACTACATGACTTAAGAAATCGTAATGACACGATTGCAAATAAACCATACCCCCGGCCGGGATTGAACCCGCGGTCATAGAGTCTCAAAACTCCGGCCCGTCGCGTTAGCCACTAGACCAGCTAGCCACAATAGATTCATCACTGGTATATTTCTCATGGAAGTTAGCACAGGCACTCTGTGACACAATGAAGTTTTTACAGGAATCTCAGCTAGGTGGCCGTGACGAACTCTAGCTCAAGTCCCTTCACTGCCGTCAACATGTTAAAATTCGTAATGACACGAGCTAGAGTTCGTTCACGGCCACGCTGCTGGAGATTCGTCTGTAAAACTTGATTTAGTTCACAGAGGTGCTGTGCTAATTCTATGTGTAGAAATATACCTAGTTGGATGAATTTATTCGTGCTAGCTGGTACTAGTTGGTAACGCGACGTGCTGGAGTTTGAGACTCTATGACCGCGGGTCAATCCGGCGGGGGTATGGTTTTTTTTTGACAGCAGGTATTAAATTGCTTTTTAATAGTCCAGTAAACTACCTTAATTCTATGTTAAAAATCTGACTCTATACATGATGTGAGAAACTTTTCATAATTAGGAATACTTGAATGAGTTATTAGGTTATACACTACCTTGACTGAATACCTATTTTATGGCAGAAGTTTAATTTACCATCTGAAAAGTAGATTTTTCTGTACTTTATATTGTTTTTTTTATTCTAATTGTCCTCTGAGTTGTAAGTTACCAAATAATTAATTTACTGTACAGAAGTTTGTCAACATACTGTACATAGATAATTGATGTTACAGCACAATATAGTTGTTTTTTTTTCAGATATAAGTAACATGCAATAAGATCACAGTAAACAGGTGATATCACAATATGCAAAACCACCACAGTCCCTTGATGATGTGAGAAATCATGAAAGCACTTGGCAGTTCACTATTTTTTTCACAATGGTTATTTTTCATGCAAGTAACTTATGTACTAGTACATATGTACAATGCCTGCACTCTAAAGGAGGGGTTTGGGATATTGGCAGTTTGGAGGGATATGTTATATATCTTTATACATGCTTCTAAACTGTTGTATCTGGGTGCCTCTGCAAAAACAGTGATTATGTATGAGTGAGGTGAAAGTGTTGAATGATAATGAAAGTATTTTCTTTTTGGGGATTTTCTTTCTTTTTTTGGGTCACCCTGCTTTGGTGGGAGACGGCTGACTTGTTGAAAAAAGAAAAATGTATTAGTAGCATAAGTGGATTTTTTTTACTCTTTTTGACTAATGTCTATACTTCATTATGCAAGTTATGTTAGGTTTGTTTAGCATTTTGGGGAATAGATATTGCCATTATAACATCAGATGATAAGTATGTATGTAACTCATATCTGGGAAAAACAGTTACCATATTTTCCGACATATAAGGAGTGCCCTTTTTTTTTCCCCCACAAAAAAGTCTTCGAAAATTACCCTGCGCTGTATATGCTCAAGATCAGGGTAGGCTTTGATGTAAAGTAAGAGAGTAATCAGCCCTTGAATATGATTATTGACTTACCATTATGATACTTTTGTCGTTCATCTTATATGCCAGAAAATACAGTATGTTTTGACCTATCATTTGCCCATGTTCAGAATCCTACTTTTATAAATGAGCTGAATGTAACCAGTTATAATATAACACCAACTAAAACATGCCTTATCAGAAGTAGGCTCTGAAGATGTAACAAAAAATGGAGAACCACAGAGAATATCAACTTGAATCCATACACAGTAAGAGCAGTTCTAAATTACAATAAAAACTAATGCTCTTTCTAGGATGAGTTGTATTGTGTTTAAGTATTTAATAAAAAGTAGCAGTGGAATAAAAGCCAGATTAAATTTAACTACTAGCTAAATGTTTCTATAAATCTCAAAATTTACATCTCTAACAAAATTAAACTTTTCAGGTTTGAAGGCTCAGCCATGTTGAGCCAACAGAAAGGAAAACCAATAATGGTACAAGTAGTGGTCCTATCAGACTTAGTGTTCTTTCTTTTGGAAAATAATCAGAAATACTCATTCTTCTCTCCTGACACTAAGGTTGGTGAAATTTATTGTACTGAAGAAAATAAAAAGTTTAGGAAGGAATCATATATTGGTAAATTTGTGTGATGTTTTGTTTTATATGATGTAATTGAATCTGTAATGGTAATTTTTCTTCACCAGCAAGCTGGTGTAATCCCCCTAGGAAAATTGATAGTTCGGGAAAAAGCTGGTGAAGGGTCACGGGTTATCTACCTCATCTACTCCAAAAATTCTGCAGAAATGTTTGAATTTGAGTGTGCTCATCCAAAGGACAAGAAAATATGGCTCGAATCTATAAGGTATTTTTTTTTTTTGCATGTTATATTCTGACTTCACAATGAGTGCATTTATGAGGTGAATTAAAGGTATAGAAGCATTTCAGAGTTATTAGAAGAGGGTTAAATAATAAACATGAATGAGGGTACTCTGAGGAAGTAATTTGTCCAACTTAGAGTTCAGCTAATAATTGAGTCTATGGTCAAAAAAAAAAGAAATGCATATTAGAATTTAAAAAAAAAGGGGTATAGTACTTACCACACTGAAGATACTGTACATGAAACTATAATTGTTAACAAAGAAAAAAAAAACTCCAAAAGAATACTAAAAAGTCTTTTTAGTAGTAGAACACTGGAATGGATTACATGAAGAGGTAATAAGTGGGAAAACCATCTGAAATTTTATAAAATTATATGGCAGACTAAATACTGAAGACAAGAAAAGCATTTCGAGAGGGTGTGGTAGGTAAGTTTGGGGTGCCAGGTGTAAATGATAATAGGGAGCATTTGATTGAACTTTGTATAGAGAGGGGTTTGGTTATAGGTAACACATATTTTAAGAAAAAGAGGATAAGTAAGAATACAAGATATGATGTAGGGCGAAATGACAGTATGTAGTTTGTTGGACTACATATTGGTAGATAAAAGATTGTTGGGTAGACTTCAGGATGTACATATTTATAGAGGGGCCACAGATATATCAGATCACTCTTTAGTTGTAGCTACAGTGAGAGTAAAAGGTAGATGAGATACAAGGAAAATGGAAGCAGCAAGTAAGAGAGAAGTGAAGGTTAATAAACTAGAGGAGGAGACAGTTTGGGTAAGATATAAACAACTGTTGGAAGACAGATGGACTAGTGAGAATACAGGCAGTGGGGTAGAAGATGTATGGGATAAGTTTAAGAATATAGTGTTAGAGTGTTCAGCAGAAGTTTGTAGTTACAGGAAAGTGGGAACGGGAGGGAAGAAGAGCGATTGGTGGAATGATGATGTAAAGAGAGTAGTAAGAGAGAAAAAGTTAGCATATGAGAGGTTTTTACAAAGTAAAAGTGATGCAAGATGGGAGGAGTATACGGAGAGAAAAAGAGAGGTTAAAAGAGTGGTGAAGCAGTGTAAAAAGAGAGCAAATGAGAGAGTGGGTGAAATGTTATCAACAAATTTTCTTAAAAATAAGAAAAAGTTTTGGAGTGAGATTAATAAGTTGAGAAAGCCTAGGAAAAGAATGGATTTGTTAGTTAAAAATAGCAGAGGAGAGTTAGAGATATCGGGAAGATGGAGGGAATATTTTGAGGAATTGTTAAATGTTGATGAAGCTAGGGAAGCTGTGATTTCGTGTATAGGGCAAGGAGGAATAACATCTTATAGGAGAGAGGAAGAACCACTTGTGAGTGTGGGGGAAGTGCATGGGGCAGTGAGTAGAATGAAAGGGGGTAAAGCAGCTGGGATTGATGGGATAAAGATAGAAATGTTAAAAGCAGGTGGGGATATAGTTTTGGAGTGGTTAGTGTTGTTATTTAATAAGTGTATGGAAGAGGGTAAGGTACTTAGGGATTAGCAGAGATCATGCATAGTTCCTTTGTATAAAGGCAAAGGGGACAGAAGAGAGTGTACAAAGCAGGATAGCAGATGAACAAGGAGGCTTTAGGAAAGGTAGAGGGTGTGTAGACCAAGTGTTTGCAGTGAAACACGTAGATGAACAGTATTTAGATAAGGGTAAAGAGGTTATTGTGGCATTTATGGATTTGGAAAAGGCATATGATAGGGTGAATAGAGGGGCAGTGTGGCAGATATTACAAATGTATGGAATAGGAGGTAGGTTATTGAAAGTGGTAAAAAGTTTTTGAGGATAGTGAGGCTCAGGTTAGAGTATGTAGGCAAGAGGGGGATTATTTCCCAGTAAAAGTAGGCCTTAGACAGGGATGTATGATGTCACCATGGTTGTTCAACATATTTATAGATGGAGTAGTAAGAGAAGTGAATGTTTAGGTGTTGGCAAGAGGTGTGGGGTTAAAAGATAAAGAATCTAACACAAACTGGGAGTTGTCACAGTTACTCTTTGCTGATGACACTGTGCTTTTGGGAGATTCTGAAGAGAAGTTGCAGATGTTGGTTGATGAGTTTGGTAGGGTATGTAAAAGAAGAAAGTTAAAAGTGAATATAGGAAAGAGTAAGGTGATGAGGATAAAAAAATTTGGTAACGGAAGATTGGACATCAGATTGGAGGGAGAGAGTATGGAGGAGGTGAATGTGTTTAGATATTTGTAAGTAAACATGTCAGCAGATGGTTCTATGAAGGATGAGGTGAATCATAAAATTGACAAGGAAAAAAAGGTGAGTGGTGCACTGGGGAGTCTGTGGAGACGAAGAACTTTGTCTGTGAAAGCAAAGAGGGGAATGTATAAGAGTATAGTTATACCAACGCTCTTGTATGGGTGTGAGGCATGGGTTGTGAATGTGGCAACAAGGAGAAGACTTGAGGCAGTGGAGATGTCATGTCTGAGGGTAATGTGTGGTGTGAATATAATGCAGAGAATCCGTAGTTTGGAGATTAGGAGGAGGTGTGGGATTACCAAAACTGAGGAGGGGTTATTAAGATGGTTTGGACATGTCGAGAAGGTGGAACGCAATAGAATGACTTAGAGAGTATACAAATCTATAGTGGAGGGAAGGCGGGGTAGGGGTTGGCCTAGGAAAGGTTGGAGGTAGTGAGTAAAGGAGGTTTTGTGTGCAAGGGGCTTGGACTTCCAGCAAGTGCACGTGAGCATGTTAGACAGGAGCAAATGGAGACAAATGGTTTTTAGGACTTGACGTGCTGTTGGAGCGTAAGCAAGGTAACATTCATGAAGGGATTCAGGGAAACTGGCAGGCTGAACTTGATTCCTGGAGATGGGAAGTGTGTCTGCACTCTGAAGGAAGGGTGTTAATGTTGCAATTTTTTAACTGTAGTGTAGGCATGCCTCTGGCAGACAGTTATGGAGTGAATGATGGTGAAAGTTTTTCTTTTTCGGGCCACCCTACCTTGGTGGGAAACAGCCATTGTGTTAATAAAAAAAGAAAGATGTCGGAAGTAGAGCTCTGCTTCCGTAGCTACAAGAAGGTAATCACATTGATAATTATGACACAATATTTGCATTAAACATCCGAGTTCAAGTATAATGAAGCACCATGTTCTTTCTCTTGTATGATTTTAATGTACGAGTCTTCCTCATTCTGCTTTAACCCTTTCAGGGTCTGTGCCGTAGATCTACAGCTTTACGTTCAGGGTCCAAACCGTAGATCTACGCCATGAGCTCAGCTCACTCTGATAAGCTGTGAGTGGTAAATTTGGGCCTAGATATGAGAGAATACATCTATGTGGTATGGGTGCACCACATAAAACAAATCCTGTAGCACACAGTGAGAAAAAACTGAGACCGTGATTTTCGATTAAAACAGCGACTGCAGTGTTTTTTCCTATGTTTTTTATAGTTGTATTTGCGATTTCTTGGTCTCATTTGATAGAATGGAAGACATATTACAGAAATAGAGATGATTTTGATTGGTTTTAGTACTGGAAATGGCTTGAAACTGAGCTCAAACTAGCGGAAATGTTAAATTTTTACCGATGTTCAATTGTAAACAAACGACCTCACACGTCTAATTCATGCCAGCTGGTGGGTCTAATATACATTCACAAATGTGGTGATGATATTTATACAATTATTACAGTATTGTATAACAGTAAATCTTCTGTTTTTTGGTTTGAATAAAAATTCATTATGTGAATAAAAATCAAAATGGAATTCATTTGTAAAGCCTCAAAACGTAACTAATGAACAGAGGAAATGTTAGTTTAGTGCCAGGAATACCTACATTGTTTATTCTGGAACCTATTTTGAAATTGGAATATTTTGAACTTTGTGTTAAATTGGCCAAATTACCAATTTCCGATCACTTTATTTTGTAGTTGAAACAGTTGACTTGGCTATTTCTTGTGCTCAATCAATAGAACAGAAGTAATACTAGTGAAGTAGCTAAGAATTTAGTCGACTGGAATAATGTAATTGGCCTGAAATGGGAGTCAAAGTCGGCAAAATCGCTGATTCGTAAATATCACTGACACATCAAAATTCGATAGAGCATAATTTCGTCAGTTTTCCATTAAATTTCATACTTTTTGTTTTATTACCTTCAGAAAAAGATTCTCCACCATTTCATAATAAAAAATAACAACATTTTTTTTTTTAAATTCTTGGACCCTGGTGCGCACTTTGAAATTTGGCCTCTGGACCCTGAAAGGGTTAAGGAGGTAGATTGAACTGGAATGAATGTTGAGTGTACCTCATGTTGGGTAGAGGAGTTAGTAGATGGAACAACTAATGCACAGATATCTTCAAGATACCCAAAATTTTGTTGATAACTCCACAGGTAGGTAGTAGGTTGGTAGACAGCAACTGCCCAGGGAGGTAATACCGTACTGCCAAGTGAGTGTAAAATGGAAGCCTGTATTTGTTTTACATGATGGTAGGATTGCTGGTGTCTTTTCTGTCTATAAACATGCAAGATTTCAGGTACATCTTGCTACTTCTACTTACTCTTAGGTCACACTACACATGCATGTACATGTTCATATATACACACACATCTGAGTTTTCTTTGATTTTATCTTAATAGTTCTTGTTCTTATTACTTTTCCTTTCACATCCATGGGGAAGTGGAATAAGACTCTTTCCTCCGTAAGCCATGTGTGTTGTAAGTCAACTAAAATGCCAGGAGCAATGGGCTAGTAACCCCTTTTCCCATATAACCTACTAAAAAGAAAAAGAAGAAAACCATCAAAGTGGGATGTTTGAATGTGTGTGGTTGTAGTGCGAATGATAAGAAAGAAATAATTTTGGATGTTATGAATGAAAAGAAGCTGGATGTCCTGGCTCTAAGTGAAACAAAGCTGAAGGAGGTAGGAGAGTTTCAGCTGGGAGAAATAAATGGGATTAGGCCAGGAGTTTCTAATAGAGTTAGAGCTAAGAAAGGATTAGCAATAATCC